TTCAGAGATAAAAGTGATGAGACTCACACACACACACACACACACACACACACACACACACACACAAGCTTCTAAATTTATTTACAGAGACTCTGAGATGAAGAGAATTTTTTTTTCATTTGATTTGACTTATCCTCTTATTAAGAAGACACCTTTTCTAAAGGTATCTTGCAATGGAAAGGTCCTGAAAAAATGCAGAGAACTCTGCCCATATGCAGCTGTTTCTCCTTCTCATTTGCCAGTTCTTACGCTGTTCACAGTTTTCAGGAGTCCTATCATCTAAGAAAATAAAAATTAGTATTCAGGGCACACTAAAGTGAGAGAACCTTTAAAAAGTCCTCAGGTTTTTAGTTGGATCACACAAAGGACCACAGTAGGAAGTCAAGGAACCTGTAACAGATAAGGCCCAACAGAGAGAAATAATCTCAGTACTTTATTAGATTAGGTACTCTGTCCTCAGCACATCTTCCTAACAGATGCAAAAGTAAATCCTTTATTAAAGTAAAAATAATCCTTGACTCTAAACTTTTTTTTCATGAACAAATATAGCATTCCATCCCTACTAACAGGGATAAGAAAAAGATAATAGACACAAGTCTATAGATAATCCAAATGTTGGTGTTACCAGGTACAAATTACAATTTCACTCAAGAAGTAGATTCTATATATAAGGATCAAATGAAAATTCTACAAGTGAAAATAAAGTAGGAAAATTAAATGGAATAGTTATGATAAAGTTTTAAATTTGGGCTCAAGAGATGGCTCAGTGGTTAAGAGCACTGGCTGTTCTTGCAAAGGACCCCAGTTCAGTCCCCAGGAGCTACATGGCAGCTGACAACTGGTCATAATTTCAGTTCCAGGGGCAATGCCCTCTTCTGGTCTCCACGGGCACTGCATGCACATGGTGCACTTATCTACATGCAGGCAAAACACTCATATATACAAAAATTTTTAAAAATTTAATATTAGGTCGATTAGTTCCCAGGGATCATGAGCATCTTGCAAATTGTCCTATAATGGTGGTGGGTCATCTGACCTCTTGATCAAGGAGGCCAAGGAGACCCCACCAGATGGACTTGAACCAGTGTCCAGTCTATAAAGAGGAGGGTCAACACAGAGGAATCATTTCCTCCATGCTTCCAAGAGAAGCCAACAATGTTCAAGCAGGACCTTTGACTTATCTTCACGTAGATGGAACTGGTAAAAGAAAGGAGCCAGGGGCTCCTCCCAAGCCCACGGGACCCCTGAGGAACAGATCCTCAAACGACCTCAAGAGTGAAAACAAATCAGTTTATCTGGTCCAATGGTATGTCCTTAAACACCCAAAAGGGAAGTATAACCAAAGATTAAATGGGCCAGTATAATTTCATGAGCACACACACATATATATAACTAAAAGTTACTTGACAAACAGCAAAGCCAGACAGGCGATACCTTCAGTCGAGTTCTTGGCCAAGATGGATAAAGGCTCTTCCAGACAGTAACCCAACATACTACTGGAAACATGAACAGCAGACCCCAATTCTATCCAAAGGAATACTGACAATGGATTGCCGTTGATAAGGAACAGCTGATCCTCCTGGAACAGGGACCTCTGGCTGACTAGATTTACTAGAAGGGCAGATAGGGGGGAATGGATGGGGGTGCTGACAGCACAGTGGACAGTGGCAGGGATAGCAGAGTATGGAGGCTCTAGTGGGAGAGGAAGGCAGTCTACCTGATGAGTTTGTATTTATGCTCAGATGCCAAGGAGCTCAGAAAGTGGGTGACTGTGACCAGTGATAGTCATGTATATAGAGATTAGAAATAGAACTCAGGTCATCAGGCATGGTAGCAGGTATCTTTACTGCTGAGTCATCCTGCTAGCCCCACTAACTGATCTTTTATGTCTTATAGAGTTTATAATGAGTAAAAGATTATATAAGGGTAATAATTCATCTGTAAACCTAGAAATGTACAGCCAATTTTGAAAGAGATGTACCCTAGCTCAGAAAAATGTTATTGAATAGGTTAATGCTGTTGTAATGAAATGCTTCTTTTAATTAAAATAAAAAGAATTTAATATTTAGGAGTAAATATAATAAAATGTATTTTAATGAAAATTACCAAGAGAAATTAAAGATCAAAATAAGTTGGAGAAATATGCCACATTCATGGTAGAAAATTTAGTATTTTTATTTTGTATGTTTGTTATGTGTGGTGCTTGCGTGTGTGCAGATACCTGTGCCTGCACCTGCAGAGGCCAGAGGACTTTGTGTGTCTTCCTCTTCGCTCTCAGTCTTGTTCACTTAGGACAGGGTCTCTCACTGAAGATGCTTGCTGTTTCAGCTAGGCTGGCTGGCTGGCCAGCAAGTCTCTACCTCTGAGCCCAGAATTCTGGGGTTACAAGCACCTGCCGCCATGTTCAGCTTTCTTGTGGGTACTGGGGACTAGAACTCCAGTGGTCATGCTGAAGAATAAGCACTCTTACCTGCTGAAGCATCTCCCTGCCCCAAATTCAGTACTTTTAAGATGTCAGTTCTTCCAAAGGTAATATATTCTATAGAATCTCAGTCAATACCTCAGCAGGTGTTTTCAGAAATTGAAGTCAGTTCTAAAATTTGTGTTTAAAGGTCTCAGAATATCTAAAATAACCTTGTGAAAGGTTATTTGTGAAAATTAGAGGACTTTATGAAAAGCTTTATGCTAGTGAACACTGTATAATACATAAAAATCCTAGAAAAACAAAGTTTCTTTTCAGAAGACACTACTAAGAAAAATAAAAAGGCCTAATGTTGGGAAAATCCCACTCCACTTTTTACATAATATATGGGTAACTCCTACAACTTAAAGCCAACAACTCAATTTAAATATCTGCAAAAATTATGCAAAAATTTTGAACATAGCCAGGCATGATGACAGTCTGTAATTGTAACACTTGGGAGGCTGAGACAGGAAGACTGAGTTTGAAACCAGCCTGGGCTATAAGACATATTGTCTCAAACACTTTCTCTTGAATGGGCACTATAAAAAAGAGACAACATAATTTACCCAGTAAAGCACAAAATTAAAGAATGAAAACACCAAGGATCACCATGTGACAGGAAGACCCAACATCCTTTTAAAATGGATGTATGAAGTATAAAGGTAGGTATCGGGAATACGAAAAAATTCTTGGTTCACGGTCAAAAACTTCTTTTCAGTAGAGTCCACAATCTTCGATGAGAGGTTGGCTGGATATGAAGTACCGGGACGATGAGAATAGTTAGTATGTAAGTAAGCCGTTAGAATGAGAACCAGCCACGGCTGAAGTGATATATCACTTGGTTATCTGAAGCACAAAACTATTTTCCTTTCTCTTACATAAACCAGTCTTTTCCCAGATCTATCACTGACTTCCTCTTTATGTTTTCTAAAACCTTGCAGCATGGCTTTCTTTTTTCCCCTTGGGTATCCTTCTCCTGTCCTACTTCTGACCTCTGCTGAATGACAGGCAATGTTGTCCACATTTCCTACTTGGCTTTTACATGAACATGTAAAAAGGGACAACAGTGAGATAGCTTAGGCAGACCACTCTTTGGATGCATGATTAACAAGTCTTTGCAGTTTAGTTGGAGCCTGACTCAGTGAAAGACCTACAAAAGGAAGTCAGAGCTGCCAGGCTCTTGCTAGCTTTACAGATCATCAAATTCTCTTCATCCTGTCTTCACTGCTTGCTTGCTCTCATTTTTCTACCTTATAGTTTCTATTCCATTTATACAAATTTAAAAGGCATTTATTGTTTTTAGGTAAGCCACAGAGAACAAAGACCTCTGAAAATCCCACAACTGTTTATCAAGACTGAAAACTTATTTTGGGGAGAACTTAGTACGACTGATACTTAGTCCAAAGTTAAATAAGAAGTGGATACAGATTTACATTGGTTTTACTTTTTGCAATCTACTTTGTAGTATAGACAACTAAAACCAATTCAAAGCCAATGCACTGATGAACTACTACTGACTAGCTACTAAAAGTGGTTTGTGCTTATACTACAAACAAGGAAAAAAGGCAAAATTTTCTTTTGAAGTAAAAAAAAAATATTTTAAGCCGAAACACACCCTTTTGTCAGTATTCAAAAATAAAATGAATTCCATTCGAATACCTATTTTTTCATCTATTTTGCTGTGTCATCTCCACATCCTCAGAATACATGTTTACAGAAACGGATCAGGCCACAAAGATTTAGAGGGGTTGGCGGGGGTCCATCCCGGGGCTGGGCCGAGCTCAGATCGCGTACGGTTAAGAGAACTCTATACCTAGAGTATACCTCTTCTACAACTAACTTTCCACAAGGATTTCCACAATTCTGACTCGCAGCCAGACAATCAGACCTTGCGGATGGGAAGAAAAGAAAAAAAAACCAAAACAAAGCGATTGCGCCACTATTTCCGCCTTTCCCAACCAGCCAATGTTCAAACATGTAGAAAGACGCACTCGCGGCCAGCACTGACGTCCTCCAAGTGCGCAAGCGTACACGGAAGACCCACCCCTCGCACTCCCGCCAACAGAGGCCCGCGCACCGGAAGCCAGAGCCTTCAGGCACCACCCTGGCCTTCCGCCCCGAGGCCCGGCTTTCGCGGTTCGGTTCCGGTTTTGGCTCCGCCCTCACTCGGAACAGCCCAGCCGACTTACTATCCAGGACGGTAGGCTGGCTGCGGCACATTTCCGGCGGCGGGCGGGAAGGAAGGGATCTAGTGACGCCCCTTCCGGTCTCCCCAGAGGCCGCGGCTCTGGCTCTCGGTGCAGGAGCGCCATCTGGTGCCGAGTTTCCCGCCGCCCGAGGACGGGCGCGTGCCCTACCGTAGGAACATTCCAGAGAAACCGCCCTCCAATCAGCCCC